GAGAGAGAGAGAGAGACGAAGAAGAGGCAGTGCTTTAAATATATATTTCTTTCTGCTCCCCTTTCTTTCGCCATGTCTGGACGCCCGCCACCCCTTTGGTGATTTACGATCGTCCTAAAACATCTTCGCGATATCGTGCCGTGCTGACTTTCCGGGAGGAAAATAGAAGGAAAGCGGCTCGTGCTAGTGAATTTCCCGGACTTCTCGTTAACACGGTCATTTCCCTCGCCTCCGATATGTGGATTATACGAGGGAACGGAGAAACGCTTACTAAGGGGCGCCTTACCTTTTTTTTTCAATCATTTTCTCGTGCCATTTTAAAGCGAATTTAGATCAATCGATTTTCGATCTTGTTAAACAATAGACGAGTATCATCGATGTTCGTCGCGAGCCTACCTCTATTTAAAATATTTCGCATGCTTTGTCAGCAGATCATGGTTTTGCATTCATGCGGGTGAATTTTATAGAAGATATGAGATCGTGAATAGCTGATTATACAGTAAAGTTGATGGGATTATTGTACTAATTGTTAAAATCGTCCTTTTCATACCAAATATATGTTTTCTGTTTTTTTTACGTAAAAAAAGAATTTCAACAACATTAATAAAAGAAGTTATGTGGAAACAGATATTCGGACTTGAACAAAGAAAGTATGAAATTCCGTGTACAATTTCACGGAGTTTAGAACGATGCAATTTCACTTGTGATATGAAGAAAAAAATAAATAAATCGTATCTTTTGTTTCTTTATCCCATTTCTCCGTTTTCATCGTGCTCTTTCCTTCGGTTTGCTGGCGCTTAATGTTGCGGATATCGACATCGTAACTTTGTATGATCATTTCGCGGCGCGATACAATAAAATTTGATCATCCATATTACTATCAACGAGAACGCAAAGCTATAGCACAAAAGCACTCTCCATTTTAATCCACTCGTTTGTACAAACATCATAAAAAATAAATTGCCGTTTACTTATCGGAATAGAAGAGTTAAGAACAATCGATATTTATTATATACATATTAACAATCTTTTTATAACAGTTCAGATAATATTTATTAAAGTTCTTAATTCGTGTTTCAAAAATAATAGAAATTATTATGAGAAAAAATTCTTGTCTAGCTAGAATCAATGAATAAAATCGATAAAATAGAATAATTGAATCATGAACAAACATTCAATTCTTCTGTCTTTAACTTAAATATTTTCAATATATAATTAGGTTAAGATATTAATCATCAGCATGCTATTAATATTCAATAGAAATTAACTGCACGAATTATGCTACCTTGAAGCAATTATGATTGTTTAATATGTAATATTCACTTACATGATAATTATGTTGTGGGCATAATAAACATGCATATACGATTTGAATCTCTTTAGATTTTGTAATGCCTTATTATCGCATTACAATGGATCATAATAACACAATATTATTGCGATATTTGCTCATACGCGTAAATTATTATTACTTATAAATTTTATTACCCGTTATTATTTAACAACTCATACACAGGAAACAGCGAAGTGTTGAATAGAAATAGAGAATAAAATTATACAGCTTTAAAATTATTATTGTTATCTTGAAAAAACAATATGTCCACAATATGTGTATATTATTTATCTCTGTGAAAGGCAAAATGTTGATTAAACTTATGTTGTTATAGCAATTGATACATCGTATATTATGCGAGCGTGTGTTCTCATTCGTTAATGAAATTTAAAAAAATTAATAACGAAAAACCTATCTCGTTCTTATTCACTCATTATTACTTGCATAACAATGTTAAAATAGAATTTTAATTTATTTAAGACCGCGGCGAATAATTAACTAATTCAATATGTGTAATATCATGAAAATAATATCTAATTAAAGCAATCGAAAATTTGTTTTAATCCGATCTGATTCAATTATTACATCTAGGTAGTTGCAATTTTCAATTTGCCTTTATGATTTACATACTAAATTCAATTAAACTGAATAGAGGATAATGCATTATGTTATTTTCCCTTGCAATTAATTATAGACAGACTCAACGATCCAGAAAGTGTGTAATAATATTCTGAAAATTATAAAAGTTATCCTTAATGCAGTAATATTTTATTTATTATGTTCATTATATTTATCATATTGCAGTATTTTATTTAGCGTAGCTAAATTACAAACAGATATAATTTTCAATTGAGTTTTTTATATGTTTCATATACACACATTTACTTGTTTGGCCAATACAAATAAAATTCAATTTATATTAATATTTTTCAAAAGTGATAATTTTCGTCGACATAATCATCAACTCATTGCGGCAATCACGTAAAAAATTAAAATAAATTCAAGTAGCTTATAAAAGGTAAAGGTCTGTATATTAATTGTAAGTTATATAAAAGAAAAGGAAGTTATTGAGAGATTTACTCGATTGATAAACAATGTGACTCCAGTGAACTCCAAACTATCAGAACAATTCGTTTCGCTTCGAGAGATAGTTATCGATTTTGTCAACGAACTGAATAGAATCGCGTCGTGAGACAGAAACTTGCTCATCAAATTGAAATAAATGAATTATATATATCGTTTATAACAATCGCAATCCGACGAGATGTCATGGAAGAATAAAAAATGACAGAACAACATTGTTTTCATGACTTAAATAAATTCAGATTTGAAAAATGATTATATTTCAGAATTTATTTTATTTAAAAAATTTTTACATCTTCTAGAATATTTCGCAGAATATAAATACTGTTTTTGATAAAACTAATTTCAATAAAATTGTATCAAAGAATAAATTAAAGAAAAAAATAATCAAAATTTTAATATCAAAATATCAATGCAATATTTTAATTAAAATTGGCAAGAAATTAAAAGTTTCATCCAATTTTATGGAAAAAAATATAACTTCGCTCAATTCATTTAATATTTAATTTTTCATATTTCCAATTAGTTTTTATTTTTAAAAAATTAATTCAGAATAGTCGAGCATACACAAATAATCTTCATGAAAAAGCAAACTTCATTAATATTCTGTGTTTATTTCGATTAAAATCGCAGTGAATTAATTTTCGTTTCTTAGTTTTATTATTTATCTTATAAAAAAACTTCACAATATTCGAACAATCAAGTAATTGAAGTGGCGATTACTTACCACGTTTTTCATCGCGACTGTCGCACACGTCAGGCAATCTCCAGTGATGAAAAACCCTCGTAAAACCCTTTGGATATCGTTGCGATGGCGTCTCGAGGAGTGTAGAGGCATTCGTTCGAGAGCGTTAATCTTCAGGAATACCGACGCGTAAAGACATGCGTTGTTCTCGCGACATGCGTAAATAACATAACCTCCGTGTGTGATATGTGAATCATTATCATCGCGGAAACATAAATATACACATCCTACCGTGACAGAGGCCGGCGCGCGACTGCCATTCGGTCGGTCGGTCGTCGACTCGCGACATTACCCGAATACATCCGAGCCCCGATTCTCGCCGAGCGGCCACGTGCTCGCCAGCCAATCACGCTTGCTCTTGACCACGTGCTCTTCGGTAGGACCATGTGAGAGCGATTAACGCGTGATATTCTTTCGGAACAACGCGCGCTAAATGTGATACTATTTCGTAACGAGGAATTTTAAATATGATTCAATGAATATCGTTTCATGCAGGTGTATTTTTATAAGAATATTTAATTCATATTTTTTGTTGCATTCTTGTTTTATTTTATTTTTATAAATTATAAATCATACGTGTCATAATTGACGTTACATAGCATTTTCGAAACGTTAATAATCTTGCAATATTTTTAAGCGAAGCTTATAGCAATAATAGGATAATAATTAAATTATTTTTAATAATATCATTATTTCAATATTAAAACTTTAAAATTTATAATAAATTTGTTGTTAAGGAAAATTAAAAGTTGAATATTAATTCTAATATAAAAGACTTAAATAAGTAATGTAAAGTATTATGCATTGATTTACATATTCTTCAATTTAATAATTTACAATGAATTAAATAAAAATTTTATTATAATAAAATATAGATAAAATATCTTATTTTGACATATTACTCTCCTCGCTTGAAAAAATGTTACGAAACACAAAGTTGCACCATAGAAAAGACTAAAGGAGTTGAAGGCCGCCATATTAAGTTCTACCAGCTACTACCTATTTTAGTAACTCTTTCATGCTTCTCATGCACGGCTACACGCGCCGTAAACTTAAAAGACTTTTATGGCAATTTTGCTGGCGTCGAACGGAGATCGTTGCACCGCTTTATAAACTTCTTTTCATTATAAATTTCATGTTCCCAGACGTGCACTCTATTTCTTTCACATATAAATGGTGATTTTGGAAAGTTGAAACATTAACGATAACAACTTTTATGAATGCAACGCACAACGCTTAACGATAAAGTACTTGCTCGCGTATTCTTTAGAAAAAAAATAGCAAAAGCTGAAAAGCTGCTCAAACTAAAACATAATAATAGAAATAGAATAATATACAGATATTTTACACATATTTTAATTTATAACAATTTTTGTTTTATATTCTACTTGATATATCGAGAAATTTAAAATAAATGTATGAAAGTCTATCCTTGCAATTAAGATACTTTTAACATTAAATAAGATACTGAAAAAAATATTATTTAAAATTTTTCTTAGATAACGTTTATTTTTGAAATTTTATAATTATTACATTTTGTTTTGTTTATTTAAATTTTGTAAGATAAAGTATGTTGATTTATTTTGGATTCTATACAAGATTATTCTAGTATCAAATGATGGAATATTATACCGCGAATTAAAATGCGAGAAAAATACTGAAAATTTCAAATAAATTTCACAGCAACAAGTTTTATGATAATTGTACTATTGTATGATTTAGCCGAGACACGAACCTCATGATAGAGTGAAATCGTGTTTCCAAATGGTTTGGTTGGAGTTGCAGTCGAACATGGTGCAATAGTTGCTTATGCATCCGGAGGATGGCAGTACGCTCGATGTTGCTAAAGTTCCGTTTTTTATTTTTTTTCTATTGTACAAGACACGTATTTCATTTTATAAAGTTTAATAAAAAACGGTATTGAATATGTTAATCTTTACCAGTATAATTTTCATCATATTTCTATCGCGATGTAGTTCTTAAAACTTAATGTTCATTTTAGAATTTTAATGAGTAAAAAATCGCAAGTATTTATTAAATGTTATATATAAAAAATTGATAGATTTTGAAATATTTATCCGCTGATATCCATAATTTAAGAAGAATAAAAATCGGAATTTCCAATTAATTTTTATCATTCCTTAACATTTTCTTAGAATATTATTATAATAAATTTAAGTAATCAGTTTTTGTTTTTTAATTAAATTTAATTAGGAACAGAATATTTTTTTTAGTAGGAGTAATTATTTTTGGAATATCATAAATTCCATTAAGATTTCATTAAAAAACATTTTATTTTAAATATGCAGATAATTATTTTGTAGTTCTGAATATATGACTTCGTCAGCCGGTATTTGAAATAAAATACGCACGAATTACATAATTAATCACGCTCAAAGAAATTCACGATAATATTACGACGACGACACAAAAATTTTCTCATTCTCCTGCAACTTCTACGAAGCCGATCCGATCCGGTACGTACCATTTTCTCTGGAGAATCCATTTCCGACGTAGCGGTCCTAACTCGTTCGTCATCGATTTTGCGCCGATCGGAGACCGGCGGAGGGTGAAGTTTCAGCCGCACAAATTAAAACCATTACTAATGGCACCGAGCCCCGAGCAGAAAACCCGCCCTTATCCCGGAGAAATAATTCGTCGGTGCACTCGCATCGACAGCGCGAAGCGGGGAATTGCACTCCTCTCTGGACGCCATGGAGAACTTTGAATGCGGTCAAATGCACCGACAGTGAAAAACGTCCGTGACCCGCCAGGCGCGAGGAGAATAGCGAAGAGGAATTTATTATCATCAGACATGACATCGTCTCTCAACTTCTTCTTACATGTATATTAAACATTGCAAGAATTTTATATTACTATATTGATAGCAAAATGCTGGAAAGAAATGTGCATTTTGTATGTAATTAAAATAATGCTTTAGAAAAATATCGTGTAAATATATATACACACACACACACACACACACACACACACACACACACACACACACACACACACACACACACTA